GTTGTAGTTGTCAATATCTTTATTTATTTATTTACTTACTGTGGTGCTGAGGATTGAACCCAGGGCCTTGCACACGCTAGGCAAGAGCTCTACTGCTGAGCCACAACTCCAGCCCCTGAGGCTGGCTTTGAACTCACGATCCTCCTGCCTTAGCCTCCCAAGTTGCTGGAATTACAGGACTGTGCCAACATACCAGGCCCAATGTACTGGATTTTGCTTATTTATATATTTTAAAAATATTTTTTGAGTTGTAGATGGACACATACCTTTATGTTATTCATTTTTATGTGGCGCTAAGGATCTAACCCAGTGCCTCACTCATGCTAGGCTAGCACTCCACCACTGAGCTATAACCCCAGGCCCACTTAATTTTAAAATTACTCAAATCCACCAGGCATGGTATTGCACACTTGTAATCCTGGCTACTCAGGAGGCCGAGGCAAGAGGATCTCACGTTGAAGGTCAACCTGAGCAAGTAGTGAGACCCTGACTCAAAACATAAATAAATAAAAGGACTGGGGATACAGCTCAGTGGTGAAGCTCCCAGGGCTCCATCCCTAGTACCCGCTCAAGAAAAGTTGGAGCAGAACAGAAGAGCACGTGTGACAGAGGCCAGGATCTCTGAGGCCTCTGACCGCTCCCCAGGTCACCCTCTGTCCCTGAGCTCCGTCCCCAGCCCTTTTTATTTTTAATCTGAGACAGGAGGACAGGGTCTGGCTCAGGTGCCCAGACTGGCCTTGAACTTGGTTCTTGCTCTGCCTGGGCCTCCCGAGCGGCTGGGGTTACAGGCAAGTGCTGCTGTGCCACCGTCACCCTCCCTGGAGCTGTCCTCATCGGGGTCTCTGCTGCCCCCTGAGGGTCTCTGCGTGGACAAGCTTTCTCAGTTATGGCTCTTGCCTGCAGGCCACAGAGGCTATGTGGGCTGAGCCCAGCTGGGAAGGGCCGATTGAAGGCTGCGGGGACTCATGGGAGTCAGGAGGGAGGGTGGGGACCGGGAGGAAATGAGACGGGCAGGGTGTTGGCCACCGGACACCCCAATAACCAGAAGTACACCCCAATGCTCCAGGACAGGGGCCCACACCATCAGATGGCGCAGAGGGGTCTCTTCATTCGTAGTTTGAGAAGTCTTGCTTAATTTCCTCCTAAGAGATTACTTCCGCCTACACTTCTGACAACAGAGCGGCAGAATTTAGGTTACCCAAAGGTGCCAAGAGCGTTAAGAAAAAAAAAAAAAAGATGGTGAACCAATAGTGGGAGACGTTTGCACACCGCAACACTGGGAGAAGCTGGCAGCTCCTGCGGCTGCTGGCAGGGCTGTCCAAGTCCCCACAGATCCCAGGGTCCCCTTATTGCCCTAGATAAGAGGAGCAGAAAGCCCCTGGGTAAGAGGGCTTCACTGGCCCCCAAGGCACTTGGAGATCCCTGGAAGAGCAGCCTCTGTAAAGAGGATCTGATTTGTTTTGAATCTCTACTTCCCAGGCTTGCATTTCCAATTCATTAAAACAGAAATCCTGGGGCACCCGCTCTCAAGTAGCCCATTAAGATTTCACTTGGGGGGATGGGCTTTTGAATGACCAAGTTAAAGGAATTAGAAAGATAATTATGGCCTGTTTGCTGTTGCACCGAAGTAGCATGAGAAATGAGTCAGTCAGGCATGTTTTGGACTGTAAACAGCTGAAACATGATTCAGAGTGGCTTACAGGCTGGGGGTGTAACTCAGTGGTACAGTGCTTGCCTAATGTGCATGAGGCCCCAGGGTTTGATCCCCAGCATCCCCCTCCCTCCAAAAAAAAAAAAAAGACATTTTCTTCCCAAACAAGAAATCTGGAGGTAGGTAGCTGCTGTCACAGAGGAACAATATCAGAGGAGGTTACTCTG